ATCTGACATTAAATTCTTTCTCTTCCAATTCCCATCAGGTGGTTCTTGGCTCAACCCTCCCTCTTTTCTTCCTCCTCACCTCCAGACTCATCCCACAGAGCGCCAACCGAGGTTTTGCTATGTCCTCTCCTGTCGCCTCATCGCAATCTGCATTTAGCTTGTCTTGTGCGATGAGCTGGGGAGGAGGAGGAGAGTTAGGCACCGGGAAAGTAGTGATATGAATGTCTGGAATAGTGGCGGGGGTTGGGGCGGCTGGACTTAGAATGGCAAAAGAATTTGACTGTGTGAGGGAGGGAGTAGAAGGGGGGTGAAGAGGAGAAGCTGGGGAGATGGAGAAACATCCTGGGAGGAAAGGGGAGGGGCAGAGCACTCGTCGACGTGCTTCCTGTCTGGCGTTTGAATGTGAGACTTGCCACTTCAGATTCAAATTTGTAGGTAGGACAGCCGCTATAAAATGCATTATGGGAGCCGCTACAATTGGCACACGTGCGGGATCGATCGTGACCATATTGGGCACAGAACCTTGACGCCAATAGTTCTGATATTGACGTGGCGAGGGGGGGGGGGGGAGCTGATATGGTTGGACAGGGAAGGATTCTCCACCACTATGAACGTTGAAGGGGAAGTTATGTCTACGGAAAGAAATCTTATGACGGTCTTTAGGGGGAATGATGTATTGATACTCCATCATAGTCGACAAGGCAGGCGAGTAAGTCTTCTCAACAATCTTCCAATCCATGCCGCAGACAGGGCAGTCTGTCGGGGGGACGGACACAGTTCCGGGGCAAGTATTGAGGGAGGGAGGAGGCTGGGCAGGAACAGTTTGCCAGTGAAGTAAGTCAGGGTTGATAATGCTTTAGCTTGGGATCCGCATGTAACTGTAAGAGGAGAATGTTGCCATAGTAAGGGCCTGTAGAGGGAATCACAAAATAAAGATCCCTTTTGGCCGGGCTGGACAGACTACTTAAGAGGTTTGCAGAAGTGGGGGCAATAGGATGGGGCCTTGTGGAAGAGGAAGTGTTGAGAGAAGCAGTACTGCGGAGAGATGGATAATAAGGCTGCAGAGTGGTAATAAGGGGGGGAAGGGGAAGGAGATGAAGCAGAGTACGTTGGGAGAGGAACGTAATGACCTGGGTGGATGATTTGACTTGGAGGTGATAGTAGGTGTTGAGGAGGACGTAGTAATGGTAGTGTTCATAATCGTGGTCAAAGTAAATCCTGGGGTCAGGGAATAGGGGGGGATTAAAATCAGAGGAGCTAGTTGATACAGGGGCAAGCCTCATTGCCCCTAACTGGTGTCATGGTAAGCCTGGGGTAAGTTGAGGGGAGAAATGGTCCAACCCTCAAGGTCCCTTGGGGGTAAGGACTAAACAGTTAAATAGAGGAATGGCTCCCCCAGCCTTTCATTCTTTCAACACAACTCTCAAACTTTGGAAGTGGATAGTAAGAGAGTGGAAGAAAAGAAGACCGTGCAAAATTAGTCAAGTCGAGGGCTGAGCCCCAAAGTTGGGGTGACCCCTGGCACTAGGCCTTGGTCTCCGTCTCCTTAGCTCCCCCCAGCAACAAAGGGCAAAGGACTGGAGGGAGAACCCTTTACAGCATCATGAGACCTTCTTAACTTATGCAGAACATCTGACCTCTTGGTCTTAATGTACATTTAAGAAGAAAAAAATACATTTATATGAAGTATGTTTTCATATGTACCATAGTAACTAAACCATTTGTAAAAGGGCTAATAACAGACAAATTATTTCATAAATATATGGTGTTACATATTGTGTGTGCATTTATGTGTTCATGTATGCACACATGTTTAAACTCAAAAATAATATCAAAAGTAAAATTAAAGCATTTCCCAGTAAAAATGAAAAATAAATATTACAGCAAACATCTATCTCTATGTAGAAACATCACATTTCTATGCTCCATTTAAAGTATATGAGGAATAGATTACCTCATAATATTATAATGAGGGATATCAAACACCAAGAAAAGAGTAAAACGTTTATTTACAAATCAACAATAATACCTTTGAACTAGACTGGGACCATCTTTTTTGATGGGCCACACTTTTTATCAAAAATATATTGATATCAGAAAAAGCCATATAATCTTTTAAAATTACAAGGCACATGAAAGTCTTTTTGGAATGGCTGGCTATTGACACATACACAAAAAAAAAAAAGAAATATTATCACTGTCCAGGTTTATCTTGCCGAAGACCTTAGTATGTCACCCTACAAGATGTTTGACTGTAGAACTGCACTGATTGCTCAGGCCAAATCCACAGTGAAAATTCGAACTATGCACTCACGAACGTTCAATTTTCACAAGTTCCCCATACTTTTCTCATTGTATAAAAGAAAAAAAAAAATCCTATATTTACAAGTAGTATCACAATCACATTGATTCTTTCGGTTATTCTACTGAACGCAATCCGCAATGTAATATAGCAATCACGAAGGCTATTGAAAACTTAAACAAAGACGAGAATAAGCATTTGTGACACACTAAGCGCTAATATTTAGTAATCCATATCTTGATATACTTCGTTTTTATTAAGGACGTAAAGATACACTTGAGACGTTGGTGGTGACTAACTGCACACAGCATGTCAAAGGAACACCACTAATCTGCAATACATTATCATCCTCAACCTGTCACCCTTTCTTCAGCCATCATTCTCCTGTCAAGCATATCTTCACCTCGATAAAGAAACATAGCATAGAAACCTTCAATGAAAATATATCACATTGAATATTCATCACAATTATATAGTGTTTCAGATCTTGACAAACCTTTTTTTTTTTTTCTTTTTTTTTTCTTTTTTTAATACAACCATACCCTGAATTTGTGTCTGCCATTTGAGGACCGGACGAGGGAATTACCGTATTAATATGTGAAAATTAAGACTGGACGCTAATTGTATATTTCATGTTGAATCTATTTCATTTCTCTTTCTCTATATATAAAATTAATAATGCAAATAATCAATGGATTATATAACAAAGAAAATAATGATGTTGACAATAATGGTAATAATAACTAACACTAAATGACAAAAACAAAATCAATAAAAAAAACATAAAATAATAAATTAAATAATACTGATATAAAAACATAACAAAATAAAACAAAAAAATCTACTACATTTAAAAAAGAAAAAGAAAAAAAAAAAAAGAAATATTGGAAACCTAACACAATACTAGAAAAGTATTAAATTACTAACTCATTTACATACGATTCATCAAATAAAGCTACTCTTTCCGTAATCTGCAATGCACTGTAGAAAATCTTCTAATACAAAAGGCCTCGTTACCTAACACAGTACGAGACGGCTCCATTCCAACTGCGTTTCTTTTGAAGAGGGAGAAAAGACCATCTCCGTTCAGAAAAAGCTACGACTTTTGATTGATTGGGCAGAAAAAAAGAAAAAAAAGTATAGAGGAATAACTATAGAAAAAAATGTTTAAAATTATAAATTACAAATGAACATTTTGAAAAAGGTATGCATTATGATTGAGAAAAAGGAAAAAAATTACTGAATATTTTGAAGAAAAAAAAAAAAAAAAAAAAAAAAAGTTGAAAATTTAGAATTCTAACATTAGAAAAAGGTACCAATTATGATAAAACAATAATTTGAAAATTTGAACAAGGTGTCAATCACAAATCTCAAAATTAAAAATTACGACTGGAAAACTCCACAAGATGCATCACTGGCTTTTAAACTTTACACCTTAATTCTGATAAATACGTAAAAACAGAAGCACAAATTACATATCTTACACTGAGTAATTATTCACTCTCCTTCATTTAAACAGTGAACTCAAATTAAAAAAAAAAAAAAAAATTCTCACTCATTTTTCTCAAGTTGTTTTTATACATAATTTTTTTCTGGAGGGTAGGGGGGGGGGAATTATGTGAAAGATTATACATTTTGGCTTCAAATATGTTCCCCTTTTATCCTGGGCCAATAATGGACTTGTGAATTTTATAAACAAATATTGAGACACTGTGAGAAGTGAGAGAAAAAAGTACATATATATATACTGTGCCGAGTTTAAAGAAAGGAAAAAAACATTAATATATATATATATATATATATATACATATGTACATATACATATATATATACATACATATACATATATATACATATATACATATACATATATATATATATACATACATATACATATATATATATATATATATATATATACGTACATATATACTTATACACATGTATAAATATGTATATATACATATATATACATTATGTATTTACATATATATGTGCATATATATATATACACATTTATATATGCATTCATATTTGCACATATATATACATATATATATATATATATATATATATATATATATATATATATATATATATATATATATATATATATATATATATATATAAACAAATAAATACAATCAAACATACTGAAAAAAAAGGAGAATGTGTATAACCTTTTTCCTCTGCAACAATTCCCTCAAACCCACTGCCTGGGAAAATGACTTTGGCAATTGCCGCCGCTGCCAGAAAGGCTTCACAAAAAGGCATTGGCGTTCACAGCTTAGAGCGGCAATGCTAAGTCTACTTGGCAACACTGTCTCATCTCTTTCCTTCATAAAAATATAGAGGATTTCTCCCGTTACAAGTGCATTGCTTTCTTATATGATAATTAGCCTACTGTACACGTGATATTTATCAATACATACAAAGTTAATTCTGAAATAATGATGAATGATTTTTTGTTTTTTTTGTGTGATGATGTGATCTTAGCAGTTAGATGAAATGCATGCTATAGAAATGATGAAAACAGAAGTAAATATGAATAAAATATGCCATCAAATGATTCCACTTAACTTAAATACTCATTGTCAGGTTTTCATCTCCGTTCCGCACTCTCACGAGTCCAACTTGGGATGAGTGTGCTCGTACTCAAACTGGTTTTACATTATGCATAGAAAAAAAAAAAAAAAACTCATTGTCAGGTTTTCATCTCCGTTCCGCACTCTCACGAGTCCAACTTGGGATGAGTGTGCTCGTACTCAAACTGGTTTTACATTATGCATAGAAAAAAAAAAAAAAAAACATAGATAACTGACAAGATTATCCGTGTCTGATTAACAAAGAAAACAGACTTGAATATCCGACGGTTAGAACTTGCTGAATAAAAAAAGGCTACCCTTTTAAATTCATGATACGATGGGGCCTTTTTGAGAACATGTAGTCAAGTTCATGATTGTAGTCAAGACCTTATCGGTAGCTCTACCAACAAGACACATTTAACGTTTTAGTTAACCCAAGAACTGCAATGAAGTACTCTGGCAAACCTTGCAGTGCACAACTAATAAAAGTAATATCTGTGTTAGTCACAACACAAAAGGTGCATCTGATAATCCTTCAGCAAACGACACGTCACATTTCCTGGGTTCAAAATGGTAAGAGCTGTGAAAGACAAGTAGTCTCTGGATATAGGATGTGGAAGAGCAGAAAAATTGACTGGGTTACAGTGTTCACAATAATAATAATAATACAAAAAGATATGACACAGATTAGATCAGATGTTAAGGAAATGGTCGGCACATAACCCTACAATGCATCTCAATCCATCCAAACTCTCTTTTCTTTGGGAATAAAGACTGGAACATAATTCAGACCATGAGAGAACTGAGCCCAGTCATAGCACTGACTTCCCCTTCCGATCTGAAGACACAACTTGAAAAGCTGAAGTATTTATGACAATATGGTATAAAATAAATTGTGAGATAGCAGTCTTGCAACCTATCTACATCGCTTGGTAACATTTGTAAGTTAAATAAAATAAATCCTATAATACAGCACTAAGTAAGTGAAAGGAGAATCTTACAAAAGCCAAACACTTTTATGTGTATAATAATACTAAATTAACCAATGCTAATCTGTGCCATCTAACAATAAAGTCTCTCCTTTGCCTCCATTCTGAGAATGATAAACGACTGTAACTTCCACTATTAACAAAAAGAAAGAACACATTTTTAGAAAAATATAAATAAATAAAAAAATAACAAACAAAGTACATATAACCACAAAAATATACATATCTTTTGAGTATCTGCCTTAAGTAAGTTTTCCCATTAACCCAAAAATTTCAGACCATAATTGTAATCCTTAACTCTTCCCTTGCAAAAGTCTCTCCACAACCCAGTCTAGCTGTATAGAAGCAAAGCTGTATGTATGCTGTTCTTCTTCTGTATCATTTCATCTCTGTTTCCGCAGTCTCATGAGACCATTCCTCCGTCCCTATGACCTTTGACACTTCCTGGAATACCGTCATCAGTTTATGGGTCGAAGTATACACTCCCCAATGCTTGTGACACCAAGCATGTGTGGCATATAGCTTTCACTCTGGGGCACAAGCATGGAGGGGACCTGACTCATCGCTTGCTGGTACTGAGCATGTGCTTGAGAATTTTTGGGAGGCCGACCGCGTGGCCTCTTGGCAGGAGGCATTGGCGCAGAGTCTGGGGGCGTGTTGTTTGACTTTGGGGTCAGAACCTGCGGGGAGGCATTAACGGTTGCCACACTGCCTTCTGTCTCAGGCTCAGCGGTGCCATCCTCAGGGTGATAGATCTGCTTTCTGATTTTGTTGAGCTTGTCCTCTGCCTCGTGTCGTCGTAAGTGGTCCTTGAGCTTGTCCCCTCGAGAGAAGTCCTTTCCGCAGATCCGACACATGAAGGGCTTTTCACCTGTGTGCATGCGTCTGTGTCGCTTGAGGTGGGATGCACGGGCAAAGTTCATCTGGCAGAATTCACACTCAAAAGGCCTTTCTCCTGTGTGTAACCGG